ACTGAAATGGGACGGTAGTGCATAGATCATTCAGCAACCTTTCTTTCACCTAATGTCCTGGACATCTAGGGCAATACATTTCCATCTGTTTCTTTCCACCTGCAGTAGAGCATTTCACTTGTCATCTTTGTGAATTCATGTGATCATTCTATTACGGACACTCACTTAATTCGACGTATTGATTCAAAGGCTATCCGTCTGTGTTTGGTGGATACTATCCAAATTTCCCTCCCAAAAGGCTGTACTTGAGGAATTGTCTTGTTCTCCATACAGGGTCACTAAGAAAGTCTGAGCCTACATTAGCTGGGAGTCTAGCAACATCTCCAACTTGCTCCCGATCTGTTTCTCCCACTGCCTAATCAACTTAAAAAAAGAAAAATCCCTTTTAAGCCTTTCAGTAGCTTTCCAGATCCTTTGGGATAAGGTCTAAAATCCTTTACATGTCTGTAAAGGAACCACCCCACTGTTAGGTGGTTCTTGTTGATCTCTCCTGACTCAACCGCTATCATCTTTGTTTCCTTCCCTTGTGCCACATTCTCCACCAGTTGTTTTCAAACTACTCCATGGGGGTATCCCTGAGAATATGTAAAGATATGGTCACGAGTCATTCTAAAGGACCCAACTTTCAGAAGTGTAACTTTCCTGAAACTGATCTGCCTGTGAAGACTCCTGTGAGTCCAGACCCACCTTGCATTTCACCATTTCAACTACCTGGTCCACCTCAAATCTTACTACTTGGTACTGCATTGTGAATGTGGAAAGGTGTAACAAACTCGATGACACCAAGAGATAATCTTTAAAATTTTTTTTATTCATGACAGAGAGGCAGAGACACAGGCAGAGGGAGAGAAGCAGGCTCCATGCAGGGAGCCCGACGCGGGACTTGATCCGGGTCTCCAGGGTCACACCTGGGCCCAAGGTGGTGCCAAACCACTGGGCCACCGGGGCTGCCCACCAAAAGTTAATTTAAAATTTATTTTAAATAAGGCATCATTAAGACAGTTGTTGATAAAACTATTTATTTATAGTAATTATCAGATTTTGAGATACACACTGATTCACCGTATATTGCTAACAGTAATAGCTCCATCCAGGACAAATTTTTACTCTTAGATACTTGATGATCTAGTCTGACCAATAAAAGACTTTGAATCATAAAAGGATATTCCATTAAGTTAAATTCTGTGGTACAAGTGGAATGAAATATGTTTTCAAGGAGAAAAAGGATCAATGAAAAATTCTAATTGGTAAAAATCCTAAGTATTTTTTAAATTTATTTATTTATGATAGAGCTAGAGAGAGAGAGAGAGAGGCAGAGACATAGGCAGAGGAAGAAGCAGGCTCCATGCACCGGGAGCCCGATATGGGATTCGATCCCGGGTCTCCAGGATCGCGCCCTGGGCCAAAGGCAGGCGCCAAACCGCTGTGCCACTCAGGGATCCCAAAAATCCTAAGTATTTAAACAGATGGTGATGGGTGATAAATCACCATGGTATTCATAATCCATTCAGACCACTTGATATCTAATTATTTTTAAATGTCATAAATTATTAGAACTTTTGTAACTAAGCTTAAAATAAAAACAATTTTAGCTATTAACTTAAAAATGTGAGAGGGAAATACAATTCTTTTAAGGGGCTTTTTTTTTAAAAGATTTTATTTATTCATGAGACACACAGAGAGAGGTAGAGAAACAGGCAGAGGGAGAGGTAGGCTCCATGCAGGGAGCCTGACGCGGGACTCGATCCTGGGACTCCAGGATCACGCCCTGGGCTGAAGGCTGCGCTAAACTGCTGAGCCACCCGGGCTGCCTAAGGGACTTTCAATGTGGCCCATTCCATGGGGAACTTGGTGGCTCAGCCTGTTAAGCGTCTGCCTTTGGCTCAGGTCATGATCTCAGGGTCCTGGGATCAAGTCCTGCATCCGCTCCCTGCTCGGCAGGGAGTCTGCTTCTCCCTCTCCCTCTTGTCTCCCTGCTTTGTGCACTTGGTCTCGCACTCTCAAATAAATACAAATCTTAAAAAAAAAAGTGTGGCATTCCAATCTCCACACAGGGCTTTTATCAGCATTTGGGCACAATGCACACTCTCAGCTTCTGTCCTCCGGATATGCGGTTCTCGCCTGGCAGCCTCTTCCTTCCCTAGCTGTCGCCTAGCTGATTCCACTGTGCAGTTTCATTTTAAGCATCCCTCTGCTTGAGAAGTGTTCTTGGTCCCAGGCTAAATGAAATATCCTTAATAGATGTTCCCACAGTTCCATGGAGCTCCTGCTTATGTTCTCATCCCACGTGTAAGCCCTCACCACCCCTGAGCACCTGAAAGGCTCCAGCAGAACCGGTCTTTTCACTGCTAGGCCCCAGCGCCAGTGTATGCAGGCCAGGGGTAGCTGTGTGCGCTTCTGTAAAACAGCCCTTTTTCTAGAGTGGTAAAAAGGGAACTCAGATTGCAAAGGATTAAACAAATGCACAGGGCAAGGAAGTAGCAGAGAATGGGGGTTGGTTCTAGGTTCCCAAGGGGGCTAGGTGGCCAGAGGGGAGAGTGAAATCAGCCACTGTTCCCAGGAAGAGAGGTGGGCTCAGGAGTAACCGGGCGGGTGGGCAGGGCTGGGTGTGGATATAAACGCGGATGAGAGCAGCTTAAGCTCTGGGTGTCTGCACGCCGCCACACCGCACAGGGCTCTACCACTTGGTGACAGACAGTGACTGGGGGGTAATTCGCCGAAAGTGACGTTATTTGCACACATCACACGTCTTTACTAACTTCATACACAGAGGTCATAATGCGAGCCCCGAGCCTGCTTTATCTCTCCACACTTTTTTCTTTTCCTCATTGCAGTGGTCTCCGTTAAAGGAAGCAGGAGTGGGTGGCACAAGTATATGCACACTACCCACACCCTGGACTTTTTCCCTCCAAAAAGAAACCTACCTCTTCTCACTGTACAGGCCATTGCCTTCCACGGCAAGACAGGGGAAACCCCGTTCAAAGTTTCTTTTGTGTGACACTTCCCGTTGGCAATGCGAATGCTCGTCCAAATACTTCTTCCTTGGGAACTCCATTCACCTGGGCTCCGTTGCCTTAAGATAACCATCTGCCACCAGTCCTGTTGCATCATGTCAATCACATATAGCCATGGAAAGCAAGCAGCCACTGTCCTGGCTCTGGCTAGAGTTCCCCATTAGAACGGCTCCCTACATAAAGCTACCCCATAGGCTTGCAAGAAAAAAATAATTTCGGGCAGCCCGGGTGGCTCAGTGGTTTAGTGCCTGCCTTCAGCCCAGGGCGTGATCTTGGAGACCTGGGATCAAGTCCTGAGTTGGGCTCCCTGCATGGAGCCTGCTTTTCCCTCTGCCTGTGTCTCTGCCCCTCTCTGTGTCTCTCATGGATAAATAACATCTTAAAAAAATAATAATTAAAAGATTTTTTTTTTCTCAAGGCATTTGGCACACTTTGGAAGGGCAACTGTCCCCAGAACAGGTTACACATTAAACCGCTTCTGCAGCCAAAGGGCAGCAGAAGGATCCAGAAGGTTTCTGGATCTGTTTTTACATCGATAAAGCGACTGCTCTGCCTTCCTAGATTTTTGTGAAGCTCACAAGTATGTCAGTCCTTCACCTACTGTGCATGTATAGTCAGGATGCTTTTAAGTACTACATAAAAAGATGAGGCTCCTTATCCAAAAAAAAAGAGGAAGACAAGAGCCCCAGACCCCGGGGGAGGTGAAAGGTCTGACAGGTGTGGAAGGAGCCTCATGAAGAGGCCGCTCCCCTGGCTTGGACTTCGGAGACCACCGTCCTAGTGATGTGGGGAGGGGGCGGGGAGGTGAAGGGAGGGATGGGGTCCTGTGCACCTGCGGGGGGGCCGGTGAAGGGAGGGATGGGGTCCTGTGCACCTGCGGGGGGGGCGGTGAAGGGAGGGATGGGGGGTCCTGTGCACCTGCGGGGGGGGCGGTGAAGGGAGGGATGGGGGGTCCTGTGCACCTGCGGGGGGGGGGCGGTGAAGGGAGGGATGGGGGGTCCTGTGCACCTGCGGGGGGGGGCGGTGAAGGGAGGGATGGGGTCCTGTGCACCTGCAGGGGGGGCCGGTGAAGGGAGGGATGGGGTCCTGTGCACCTGCGGGGGGGGCGGTGAAGGGAGGGATGGGGTCCTGTGCACCTGCGGGGGGGGCGGTGAAGGGAGGGATGGGGGGTCCTGTGCACCTGCGGGTGGGGGGACTGCAGCCCTGGGGGCCTCCGCAAAAAGGCGCGGAGAATGCGGGAGGTAAGTCGTGGGTGCCGCCCCAGGTTCGCCGTTCCCGCCTCCCAGGCTAAGCTGCGTGAGTCGCCCCGCCTGGAGATGGGAGGGTGTGCAGCGCAGGTGAGACAGCGCCGTTTCTCTGCACCCCAAGTAACCGGGCGACTCCGCCCCCGGGCGCATTCCGGGTCCAGGGCCCCGCAGAGCGTGCTGGAGCCTGCCCCGCAGCCACCCGGGGCGCCCTCCTCCAGCCGCCCGCACCCACCTTCCCCCCGCCGCCGCGGACCCCTCTTCCCGCGTCTGCAGCGAGGCCGAGCTTTGGAGCATGCGCAGTGGACGGAGCCGGGCCGCCCGCCCGTCGGGTGGGCAGGGGCGCTTCCACTGTCAGCGCGCTCGACCAATCAGGAGGCGCGTTGGTGCCGCGCAGCCCCGCCCCGTGGGGGGACCATGGCAACCGCAGGCCAATGGGGCGGCGTGTTGTTGCCGCGGAGCCCCGCCCCCCCGGCGGGGGCGCTGGGTGACGGGCGAGGGTCATGGGGTGTGAGCGCTGCTGAGCTCGGGAGCGTCGGCGGCCGCGGCCTCCCCTGCGCCTGCGCCCGCGCCCGGCCCGGCAGTCGCGGCCCGCGTGTCGTCCGGCGGCGGCGCGGCCCATGCGGCTGGGGGCGTCGCGGGTGCGGCGGGCGGCCCGGGGAGCGGAGGGGGCGGCGGCGGGGCCCGGGCCGGCCCGGTGATTGGCCGCGGCGGCGGGGAGCGGGCGGCGGGGAGCGGGCGGCGGGGAGCGGGCGGCGGGGGGCGGCGGCGGCCCGCGCGGCCGGGAGGATGCTGCTGTCCCTGGTGCTCCACATGTACTCGATGCGCTGCGTGCTGCCGGCCGCCGTGCTCCTGGGCTCGGCCCCCACCTACGTGCTGGCCTGGGGCGCCTGGCGGCTGCTGTCCGCCTTCCTGCCCGCGCGCCTCTACCAGGCGGTGGACGACCGGCTCTACTGCGTCTATCAGAGCATGGTGCTCTTCTTCTTCGAGAACTACACCGGCGTGCAGGTGAGCCACGGCCGCCCCGCGCCGCCCTGCCCCCTGCCCCTCCCGCCAGCCCCAGCTGCCCCCCAGCCCCACCTGCCTCCCCATCTCACCTGCCCCCTCCAGCCCCACCTGCCTCCCCATCTCACCTGCTCCCTCCAGCCCCACCTGCACCCCCATCTCACCTACCCCTCCAGCCCCACCTGCTCCCACCCCCACCTGCTCCCCCAGCCCCACCTGCTCCCCCATCTCACCTGCCCCTCCAGCCCCCTCCAGCCCCCCCCATCTCACCTGCCCCTCACCCCCAGCCCCACCTGCCCCCCATCTCCACCTGCCCCTCCAGCCCCACCTGCTTCCCCCCTCCGCCCCACCTGCCCCCCCATCTCCACCTGCCTCCCCCCAGCCCCACCCCCAGCAGGTCCCCGTTGGGCACCTTTCATCCTGCCCTCCCAGCCTCCCCGCCCCCATCCTCACCCGCCCCCCATCCCCACCTGCCCCCCATCTCCACCTGCCCCCCACAGCCTCACCCCCAGCAGGTCCCCGCTGGGCACCTTTCATCCCGCCCCCCGCCCCATTCCCGCACAGGGTACTTTAGGATCTGTCCGCTCTGCCCCGCAGATGTGGCGGGAGGACACGTGCCATCGTCCCATCCTCCCACCGAGAGGGCAGGTTCGCGACCTTGGTAGGGTTTGGTCCGGGATGCTCGCTGGCAGGTACCCCCGGTCACCGAGAAGCTGCGGTTCCCGTGTGGAGGCCACACGTGGGGTCCGCCCCCCCCCCCCCCCCCAATCTGGGAGCTCCGCTTAAGTAGGTGCAGATGAATGCGTAAGTAGGGCAAGCGGTTGACAAGCTTTTGGCGTCTGGTCTAAGCAGGATTGGTAGTGTTTGAAGTCAGAAGTGCGCTTTCAAAAACCGGAGACCTTCTCTTCAAACTATCGAATGTCACTGTCTGGACAAGAAGTACAACTTTGCTTTGGGTTCTTCCGCAGTAGAAGTGAAAGCTGGGCGAGGAAATGAATACATTTGTTACTGTAGAAGCCTTACTGTAGATAAAGTTCTTGCCAACCTCCAGGCTTGAATGTGTGGCTCTTTTTTTTTTTTTTTGGTCTGGTTACTTTCTGTTACTGTATCTGTAGAGATTGGATATGTAGATTAAATTTAAACAAAAACAAAAAAAAAAAGAAAAGAAAGAAAAAGAAAATGTAGAAGACCCCCTTCACTTTAGTTATTTGACAAAAATAGCCATTTCGAATTTTCCTTTTCCCAATTTGCAAAAAAAAAAATAAAATAAAAAGATAGCTGGATTCCTGGTTATTCCTTATCTCCAGTTAGTCCTCTCCTCCTCCCCCCCCCCTCCCCTTTTCTTTTCCTAGTGGGGTTGAGTTGAAGGGAATGAAATGCCATTGGATTTGTCTTTTTGTCTTTTTTCCCCCCTGAGCAGCTGTTTTCACCCTGTTGTCAACCAGCTACTATTTTCAGTTTGCAGTTGCACTGCTGTGGATCCCTGATGACTGAGTTTGCCCCAGTTGGAGGTTGTTTGGGGGAAGGGAAGTAGGAGAAGCCAGGGCCTACATTTAAACCAGTATCTGTAAGTGCTTCCTAGAAAAGAAAGATCACTCTTCCAGATGGTTGTTTCCTTTTGACTGACTTCTAAGAGGGGCTTCATTTAAGATTTTCAGGAATTCAGACCACTCCTTTTCTCCTGTGCTCTTACTTCACTGCGTTCGTCTAAATGTAGGGTTTTGTCATGATTAAATAATTTCACGTCCTGTGACAGCTGACCTGAGCTAGGATGCAGACAAAATATAGGACAAAGTGGGCGGGCTTCCTTTTAGAAAAATAATACTACCTCTGGTGGGTTATTTCATTTTTGTTCAAAGAATATAGCACGTCCCATGCAATATAACGTATAACATACACCAGCGAAGTACTATGTGTTGAGCAAGTTTTTTATTTTCGAAATGATTGTAAAATTCAGTGTTTCTAAATTGTATGTCTTGTACCCTGTTCATTGTAGACCTCCAACTTAATTATTGAGGTCTCAGCACATGGGTTTTTAAAAAATTCAATCTGTTGATGGTCAGTGAGCAATCAGTTCTAGAATTCCTAATAAATTTTAAAGAACACACACCAAGTAAAACTTTGAATTGTCCTTGAGGGCCATCAGATATCCCTTTACAAATGCATGAACGATGGTATCCTGTCACCTTATTCTTAGTTTTACTTACTAGTTTTCATCACTGACTTTGTCCGTGTAAAGTTCTGATTAACATTTTAGCCTTTTTTTAAAAAAAATTTTTATTTTGCTAGGGGACTTTTTTTTTCTATATTTGTTTATCACCTCTAATTTGCAAAGACCAGAGATGATCCTCAGCTTTGTTCTGTATAAAAGAATGTTGATTCATTTCTGAAGAAGTGTTAGCCATTTGAATGAAAGGAAGTTCACCATTAAATAATATACATTATAGAAGTATATTTAAATTAGAGTTTTTTCCATCCCCTCCCATCTGGCAACCACCAGTTTGATCTCTGTATTTATCGGCCTGTTCCTTTTTTTTTTTTCAGATAACACATATAAAGTGAAACTGTATGGTATTTGTCTGTCTTCCTTCACTTAGCATAATACCCTTTAGGTCCATCCATGTTGTCCCCAATGCCAGGATCATTCCTTTTTATGGCTGAGTAATATTCCTGTGTGTGTGTGTGTGTGTGTGTGTGTGTGTGTAGCACATGTTCTTTATCCACCAGTGGACATTTAGGTTGCTTCTGTGTCTTGGCTATTGGGAACAATGCTGCAATAAACATACGGTAACGTGCATATCTTTTTAATTAGTGTTTTTGTTTTATTTGGGTAAATACCCAATAGTGGAATTACTGGATCAGGTGGTATTTCTGTTTTTAATTTTTGAGGAACCTCCACAGTGGTTGCACCAATTTCTGTTCCCACTAACAGTGCAGGAAGGTTCTCTTCTCTATACATCCTCACCAAATATCTTTTTTGATACTAACCTACTAACCGTTCTGACAGGTGTAAGGTAATAACTTATTGTGGTTTTGATTTGCATTTGCCTGTTGATTAGTGAGTAGAATTTTTTAAATGCAGTTGTAATACTTTTTAAGTCTAGGTTTAAAAAAGAAATGGTTCATAGTAGGGCAACAAAATATTTTTTTATGTATAGAATTTTTAAGCTGAAGAGAAGTAGGAAGTTCGTGATCTGTGCTTGACAAGTAAACCTGTTCCAACAGGTACACTTGAATGTTCCATCAGATTCTAGGTAAATATCTGTTCTTCCTACCTCTACAACTTTATTTTCACGTGCATTTCTGACATGGGAGCATTTCAATCACTGTTGCTAAAATGACTTTATAATTTATCCCTTTAGGTTCTAGAATCTTATAAGTACTGAAACTCAACAGGGTACCTTCACCATTTACTTTGGAATAAGCGATAAGGATTTTAAAAGTTTCACATATCTCTCTTACCTTGACCCCTGACAACCAACACACACCTCTTTATTATTTTGGGGGGCACTGATTCAAATAATCGTACTTCTTTTCTGTTGCTGCCAAACAAATCACCTCAGATTTAGTGGCTTAAAACAAGATAAATTGATTCTTGCAATTTTCGAGGCCAGTGTCTGGAATCAAGGTGTTTGTGGGGCTGTACTCCCTCTTGAGGCTCTAGGGCAGAGTCTTTCCTTTTTGGCTCTTTGAGCTTCCTGTGGCTGTGGGCATTCCTTGACTTGTAGCCATGTAATTCCACAATCTGCCTCCATGCTCTCTTTGCCTCCCCCTCTTCTGACTGTGTCAGATCTCCCTCTGCCTTTCTTTTCTAAGGACACTTGTCATTGGGTTTAGGGCCCACCCAGATAATCCAGGATGAGCTCCAAAACTCAGAATCCTTAACCCAAGACCCTTTTCCCAAGTGAGGTCACATTTATAGGTTACACGCTTAAGACATAGACAGTCTTTTGTGGGGATCACTATTCAAACCCCACACATTAGTAACTTAACTCAATCCTGCTTATTCTTGGAGCTGGAGTGCAAGGAAAACCTGTAGGAAGCTAAAAAGAAAGTGGGGCATACTGGTAGAGGCAGCAGTGAGGACTCCAGCGGAAGGTTAGGGGGAACCAGATTTACCATAGTTCTATCCCAGGATGCTATCCTTAAGTGCTGAGATTCTTGTATAAACAATAATTGTATGTAATAGGGTAGGTAATGAAAACTCTTAACATGTGGTTTTGGAAGCTATTAAAAGTTAATGAATTTTTTTTTTCTAAATGTCAGAGTTCTTTTCTCATTTTCAGGAAAAAGTTCTGCTCTTTTCCTTCCTTCCAACAGAATGCACTAAAAGTTGATCATTGATATTTGTAGGACAAAAACATTTAGTATTAATAATACATGCTTTCTCATTAACACTAATAAATATTTTAGTCAATTGTTTTTCCTGCCTAAATCATTTTGTGACGCTTGGAATTTACTTTAAAATGTACTTCGCATTAATGGCCCTATTTTCTAATTTGCTCTTCCTCAAATGCTAATGTGATAGAACAACAAAATGTGGACTTTGAGAAAAGATAAATTTAGTTTTTCAACTGACCTACTTCAGGTATGAAATAGTTCAAAAAACACTGGAAATAAGATACAGAATTAAAGCCTAAGATTTTGATGGTTTTTTAATGTGTTCAGTTAGAATACTCTTAACTTCTCTAATAATTCATACATTTAATTGAAACATTGTTTCAAGTTCCTCAGGAACAACCAAGGCATTCATACCTGGAGACCATTTGTAACTGGTTCTTTCTGTAGCACTGTTTCATGAAACATAGTTCTAGACTCTTAGTTAAATTTGTATTCTGTATCTTGTAGCTAAAGGCAGCTAAACTTTTCCAATGAAACATGTTTATTTAAAAATGGGAGAAGATACCTTCAAGCCCACCTCCTTTTTTTTTTTTTTAACCACATCTGGATTCTGTCTGCATTTCTGCTAAAATGTTGCCCAGAGTTGAATGTCAGTAGTCCTA